TTCACCTTAGACTTACAATATTTTTAACCTGGAGAAACTGTGCTCAACTCCTTCATTCATTGATGCATTCGACAAAACGTATTGAGGATCTATGACGTGCTTGGAAGTGCTCTGTTCTAGGGACTGGGGATGCAAAGGTGGACCAAACAAAAGGTTCCTGACCTCATGGGGCTTTAGGGAGGAAGACAGATGACAACTGAATGATCCCATAAAGGTACAACTGTAATAAGCGTCCTGAGAGTGTATAACTGAGGGTTTACACCCAACCTGAAGGGTCAGGAAAGGCTTCTCAAGAGAGGTGAGCTTTGAACCAAGGTCTGAAGGATGAATAGGAGTTATTTAGGTGATAAGGAGGGGAAGACAACCCAGGCAGTATCCTGGGTCCTGTGCCCGAGTCAGTGTGGCAAGAATGGGTGATGAAAAGAAAATTAGGATGTCTTGTATCAGTTAGCTACTGCTGTGAAACAAACAACCCCAATACCTCAGTGGCATCAAAAGGAAGCATTGGTTTCTCGTGTGTTTTGGGGTTGGCTGATCTTGGCCGGGCTCAGCTAGGATTCTCTGCTTCAAGCTGTGGGTCTGACAGGCCTTAGCTCCCAGATGCAGGTGGGCTTCCAGTCTGTTCCGTGTGTGTTCCTCCTGGCTGGGGCCCAGGCCGAAGGGTAACCACTGATTAAGGGAAAGCTCTTTGACTGGCAGTAGCAGAGGCACAAGAGGACAAATAGAAACATGGGATGCCTCTTCAGGCCTGGGGTCAGAACTGGCCGCTGTCATTTCTGCCCACTTTTGATGGGTCAAACAGGTCACATGACCAACCCCAAAACCAACAGCCAGGGAATCACCTTAATCATAAGTGAGGGGAACGGCCAAGATACGCGGCAAAAGATATGGATACAGGAGTGTGAAGATTTGGGGTCAATAATCCAATCCACCTTAAAAAACAGAACTGAGCACTTGGGACACATTGAGCCGAGGAGAAGGCAGGACCTCACAGGTCTAGTTAAAATTTTTGGTCTTTCTCTTAAGAGCAATGGGAAGCTCTTGGAAATGAATAGCATGGTGGTGAATAACGATTCGATTTGGCTTCTCAAGTCATCTGGCTGCCGTAGGGGATCAGGTTGGACAAGAAGTGATAAAAATTCCACGTGCCCCATAGCTTTCAATTCTGTGTGTGTTCGAATGCGTGTGAGTGTGTGTGTTTCTGTGTCCCCACTCACATCCGCGGAGGATGCGGCACCCTGGGATTTATCTTTCCTCATATCCGAAAAGTAACTTATCTGTCCATCAGCTGGGATGGCAATCCTATTGCTCCATCTCTCCAGCTCCCAAGGATTCACACTTTTCCAGCATGAAGAGCAGGAAGATTTCCGCATGTTTTACAAATGTCAATTAATTTCACTCCCAAGAAGTTTAGCCCTTATTGTCGTAATTGCCATCGTTAAAACAGCTTCCAAACATTCTGTACTTTCAACTTTGTCAAGGATTTTATCCAGGGGCCCCAGGAGATAGCGCAGGAAGCTTCTGTTGGAGAAGTTGTCTGGCTGACTTTGTTCACAATATTAGGAATCGATGAGTCTGAAGCTAGCTATCTGCGCTCAAAACCCTTAGCTCGTTTTTCTGCCAGCTTGTCTGTTCAACCTGGTCATGAAATTCCAATCCGTAAGTCGGGCTGATGCTCTGCTTTTCCAGGACTGACCAGCTGGAACAGTGACTACCCTGAGCAGGTCTAGAAACGGGTCTATAGCCAAGTCACGGGGCTCCTCCAAACACCACTGATCCTTCGCCTGCAAACATTCCTGAGTGTCCCTGGCTTGCCTCAGTCAAGGGAAGCATCCATCCGAAGGGTGATCAGCCAGAAAAACCTGTTTGCCAGCAAAATCTCACCATTTTTCACAAAGACGCAGAAAGAGAGGGGGCGTGTGACTTGAACAGCCATCAGCCTGGGGAGCAAGGGATACAATCTGCCCTCTCTTCCATCACCACGAAACCGCAGCCTCGATGGCTGAATCTGCACCGGGCCACCATGGCAGAGAAAAAGGAGCACGCGTTCTCAAGCGTGTGAAACAAGCCCGGCACAGCAGGACTGCAAGTTTGCAAGGCCGGAGTGAAAACTCAAGCTGCTTCTCCCTTGTCAGCCTTTTTGAATGGGAGAGGAAGATTTACTGCTAGCGTCGGCTGACAGCCTTTTACAGCCATTGCAAATGGATTTGAGACAGCAGAGTCGTAGGCTGAACTGACCACAGAGCGACTGTAGATGGCTCGTTTTAAGACCCATCCAACATCCTGGGCACAATAAAGTGGCACTCCTTGCCAGAGAGGAGCACGAAGGATTCAGCTGGAACCATCGCGGGGCCAACGCTCTTAAACACATGGCTGAACTGCTGAGGGTTTCAGGATGTCAATGTCTTAGTGTGCTTGCTCAGCCTGGCAGTTTCTGTCCATTTAGCAAGATCTGCTTGCAGTGTAGGCAAAAGTCTTGAGGTCCGGTTGTTGGGCTACTGCATTTATTATTGATAAAGGCGAAGGAAAAATGCTTGTGTCTGAGTAACACCTGGCCCAGCAGACTTACTGTTTACATAGCGGATATTTGTAATTTACCCTTAGCTGCCAGGTGCCACCATTCTCCTGTGGAATGCCCATTTCGTCTAACTTAGTCTCTCCTTTTTAATAAGGATGATTCCTTAAATGTTGAATTAAATATGAACTATTTTTTATCTTTTTTTTTTCTGATTTTTCTCCCCAAATCCCCCCCGTACATAGTTGTATATCTTAGCTGCAGGTCCTTCTAGTTGTGGCATGTGGGACGCCACCCCACCGGGGCCTGACGAGCAGTGCCATGTCCGCGCCCAGGATCCGAACCAGCGAAACCCCGGGCCGCCATAGCGGAGCACGCGAACTTAACCACTCGGCTACGGGGCCGGCCCCTAAATGTGAACTATTAAAAGATATTCCATGTATATAAATTCACAACAAAAAGTAATCTTTTCTGTAAAAAATAATACATTCTGGCATGAATAATATAGTTCAAAAATAAAAGAAAGCGATGCATCAGTAAAAACTACATATATGTGTGTGCATCCACGTACATTTATATTCACATATATATGTTAATATAACTAGAAGGATAGAGGTTGATATTTATGCCCACTTATGAGGAAAGGAAGTGAGAGAGTTAATGAGAGAAAGAATTACTTTTCACTCTACCATTTTGTACCTCTTAGATTTGACACCCTGTCCTTATACAACCTACTCAAGGGGCCGGCCCCATGGCCGAGTGGTAGGGTTTTCGCGTTCTGCTTTGGCTGCCCAGGGTTTCGCCAGTTCGAATCCTGGGTGTGGACATGGCATCACTCGTCAGGCCATGCTGAGGCGGCATCCCACATGCCACAACTGGAAGGAGCCACAACTAAAGATACACAACTATGTACCGGGGGGCTTTGGGAGAAAAAGAAAAAAAGTTAAAAAATAAAAATCTTTAACCTACTCAAAAGAAAAGAGTATTTTTATTTTAACTAGATGCGTAAGGGAAAAAAATGAAAGTGATTATTGTTAGAATTTTGACTAATCTTTTCTGCGGGTTTCAGATTTATACCATGAGCATATTTAATTTTTTTATCAGAAAAAAAACCCCATGTGCTTCTTTGCCTCTTTATTAATGGGTAATACAGCCGTATGTTGCACAATTCCAAATAGTTAGTAGTAAATAGTAAACAGTTACAAGTAGTAAATAGTAAACAGTTACAAATAGGTCGAGCTCCAAGTCTGGTTTCCAAGTTGAGCTCCACTGTCTCCAGATAAATATCTATGTGAGAATAATAATTTTCTTTTCTCCCCCCAAAACATGAGTGTAGAGTGTGAGCTTGGTGATTAGACATATGTATGAAAAGGAGTGTGTGTGTGTGGCAGGGTGGGGAGAAGAAAGACGAGCACATTATATTTTAAACACTTTGAGGTGGTTCAGACCTGCAGATCCGCACACCCCGGGACACCCTGCCCTCACCACCAATGCGACTCCATGCCCGGCTCTGCAGGGACCCCCACTGCTCGCACTCTTGAGAGTCTGCTCCGCCCCACATTGCTCTGGAACACAGGACAAACGCCAGCTGGTCTGGTCCCAGTGGAATGGGGGGACGGGCGGCAGGGGGCAAGAGGGCACCCAAGACCCAGCAGCTCACACCACACGGTCCTCCTGTTGCTTTTTTTTTCCCCTTCCTTTCCTCTCTATAAACAAGTGATTAATGCCTTGCAAAAAGGCACAGACACACCTCCCTCGCAGCAAGCAAGCCCCTGCCAGGTTCCCCAGCCTTAATTCTGCTGTTAACACTCCTCAGGCGGAGTGGTGAAGGGTAAATCCACTCCTTCACGACGCAGACCTGCGGGCAATGTGGTTTGTTTAAAGGCTCTGCTGAGCGATTGACCTGCCTCCCGTTTGCTCCAAGGGAGGGAGTACACTCAAATGAAAAATGAAAAAAAAATTTTTTCAAAAAGCGCAACTTGCCCTGAAGCAGCTTCCGGTGTGTAAACCGTCCTGGCACAGGACCCCCCAGATGGACGTGGCTTTCGCAGAACCTTCCTTCCCTTCTCCCAGCATCAGCGGACAAGGAGGGGATGAGATGGATGAACGTTGTCAGCTTCACAGACTCCTTTTTCATTTGTTTGCAAGAGGCATCCTGACTGATTTAAGAAATGAATCCCTGGGCCCGCCCTGTGGCCCAGTGGTTAAGTCCACGTGCTCCCCTTCAGCGGCCCGGGGTTTCACAGGTTCGAATCCTGGGTGCGGACACGGCACCGCTCATCAAGCCAGGCTGAGGCGGCGTCCCACATAGCACTAGAAGGACCCACAACTAAAAAGACACAACTATGTACTGGGGAGATTTGGGAGAAAAAGGAAAAATAAAATCTTAAGAAAAAAGAAAAGAAATGAATCCCTGATGAAGTTGTGCACACCCCTGGACTAGGCATGGACCGACCACTGAGTGGACAGAGAACTTCTATGTACATTTATTTTTAAATGCTTTTCTTTTTAATTTCCATTTTAGTACAGTTCAATAATAAATCATATGTCAATTCAGCAGAAGAGGTATATGTTAGAAAAGTGAAAATATATAGATATTGGGCAGTTTCTACTCAACTCTTAGTTTGTAAAGATGTGACGTCCTCCAAAGAAATTTGGGAGTATTCCACCTGGAAGAAGAAGAAATGAAAGAAGTGAAATATCACCGTTTTGCAAAGCCCTAATGAAATACTGGATCCATCCAGAAAATGGTGTTCAGTGGCTGCTACCAAGCCAAGATGAAAGAAAAGTGATATTGAGATCGAAGTACATGCTGTCGTCTAGAAGTGGGCTTGCGAAGAGAATCAACATTGAGTCTCGTCAAACATCTAGCTAGTTTATAGGAAATACAGGGGACAGAGAAACGTAACAAGTGACACTTAGGGGATGCAAATGGTAAGAGCAAGAGTGATTCCATTCTTTCAATGAAAATTTCTTTTCAAGGAAAAAAAAGTGGGAGGTGGATCATGCACAGTGTAGACACCTTGTCCCCATCCTGACTGGGACAAACCAACTGTAATAAAATAAGAAGAATGGAGTCAATCAGGGAACACTGAGTACTAAGTGGATATTTCGTAAGGTTAGGCAATCACTGAGTTGGGGGTGCGTGTGATAAGAGTATTATAGTTGTGTTTTTCAAAAAAATTCATTCTTCTGTTTTGGAGATGCACATGAAAGTGTCTACAAATGAAATAATATAGTGCCTGGATTTGCATTCAAACAATCCACTGGGGGTATTCATGAAACAAGATTGCCCATGAGTTGATCATTGTTGAATCAAAGTGGTGGCTATATGGAAGTTCATTCTACCATTCTCTCCAATTTTTAATGTTGGAAATGATTCATTAAAAAAAAAAAAATTGGAGGCACCAGCCCCAGTGGCCTAGTGGTTAAGTTTGGTACACTCTGCTTTGGCAGCCCACATTTGGTTCCCAGGCATGGACCTACACAGCTCTGTTAGCAGTCATGCTGTGCCGGCGGCCTACGTACCAAAAAATAGAGAAGATTGGCATAGTTGTTAGTTGAGGGTGAATCTTCCTCAGCAAAAAAATAAGTAAGTAAATAAATAAAAATTGGAGACCACTAGCATAGACCATGACAATCAGCAGACACGTCACCCCTACTCTGGACCAAATGCTGCCAGGAAGCAAATAGGCCGAGGAGGAATGAAGAAATCTAATATTTATTGGGCACCAGCTCTGTGCCAAGCATTAGAATGAAGTCTCTCTCCTGAGTCATCTTCTGTCTCCTGTTGAAAAACTGTGGGAGGTTGATATAATTAGCCCCATTTTACAGATAAGGAAACTGAGGCCCAGAGGGCCAGAGTGACTTGCCAAGTGATGCCAAGACAAGAAGAGCCACTGATGAACTAAGACATGCAGACGTGAGGATTTTTTCTTTGTGACCTTGGACTATTACTTTTCCTCTCTGGGCCTCAGTTTCCCTCGCTGTAAGACCACATTCATGATTCATAAAGGTAAGTTGTACTCTTCGGTCTTCTTCTGCCACTCCTCCATCGCCTTCCCTCTCCTTCCTTTCTTCTGTCTTCCCAGGAATGTGTCAGAGGCAGCCTGGTGTGGAGGAAAGAGAAATTGAGTCCACGGTTCAAATTCTGGTTCTGCTTTATGCTCTTTGAGCGACCTTGGGCAAGTCACTTAACCTCTCTGAGCCTCTCCTTCCCCAGCAACAAAATAGGAAGAAAATAATAACTACCTTTTAGTACTGCTGGTACGATTCAGACCATGGACAGACGGCGCGCAGCTCAGAGTCCAGGATAAAGCAGGTGTCGAGTAAGGATGGCTCTCTCGTACCTGCTTCCTCTCTCCTGCTTCCTCTGGTCATCCCTGTGGCTTAGCACCACCTCCCCCAAGTCTTGGCTGAAACGTCACCTTCTCAGTGGGGCCTTCTCTGACCACCCTTTAAAACTAAACCCCACCATCCCCTTGTCCACAACTCCCTTTCCTGATTTATTTTTTCCATATCACTCATCACCATCAAAAACAGACCTTTTTCTTTTTTTGAGGAAGATTAGCCCTGAGCTAACTACTGCCAATCCTCCTCTTTTTGCTGAGGAAGGCTGGCCCTGAGCTAACATCCATGCCCATCTTCCTCTACTTTATACGTAGGACGCCTACCACAGCATGGTGTGCCAAGCGGTGCCATGTCCATACCCGGGATCCGAACCGGTGAACCCCAGGCCGCCGAGAAGTGGAACGTGCAAGCTTAACTACTGCACCACCGGGCCGGTCCCCTAGATCTTACCCGCTTATTTTGTTCTGCATCCTTCCCTCCCCCACTAGAACGTCCTTGGGGACAATCATTTTTATGTGTTTGGTTTGCTGCTCTATCCTGAGCTGAGACATATAGAAAGCCCTGGGTACACATTTGTTCAATGAATGAGCGAATGAATGAATGAATGAATATTAGACCTGGTACTGGTGCCTTTAGCTAATGGAAAGAACAGGGCATAGGTCGTGCACAGAGTAGCTAGTCCATAAATGCTTTGGTTCTCATTTTTCTGGAACACCAGAATCTGCCAAGGTCACCCTGTTCGACTCTAAGCGACTCCCCATCTACCTGTGGGTGTTCTGACGGTTTCCAGCTTTCTTATTTCTGGCTATCCCTTAAGCCAACCTTCAAGTGCCTGGCCCAGTAGCTCCAAGTTCTTTAAGCTGTATTTCACCGAGGGCAGTGAGTGATAGTGTCCTGGGGCCATTTGCAACCTCCCTTCCCTGAGCACAGGTGCTTGAGGAAATGTTTTGATGAAAGGCAGGGAAGGCACCAGCTCCCTGGCTTAATCTTTATGAAGGGATTACCCAATGCTAAGGAGGGACTTGTCCATGGATCCTTGGGGCAAAGAGCTGCAGAGATGTGGTGCTGATGGAGCCTTTATCTAGATGGGAAAACTGAGTTTTTAGATGGGCCAGAGCTGCCCAGCATGTCACCCCAGAGGTGGAGTACAGGTATGTTGGGATCAGGGTACTGATAAACACTTTCAGGAGAAACTTCACCTCTCTGAGCTAAAACAGCCCCAAGCCAGTCCTCACTCCCTCCTGGGCCCGTTGAGAAATATTCCTCAAAATGTTGTTGATAATGGCTTTCCTCTCTGCCCTGGCCCCCGGCGGTATCGGGTATGGGCAGATTGCGACAGCATTCGAAGCTGGGCCTGTTTCCCATGAGAATCTTCCTCCGTCCCACAGAGACGGAGAGCCCAACTCATTCCCTTTACACTTCAGGGGTCCTTACCCTGGCACCCTCCAAGGGACTCTTACAGGGCTGGGCGAGTCCGTGGATAGAATTTAGGGACCCGTGAACTTGGATGGGGGAAAAAACAATCACACTTTCGTTTTCACTAAACTCACAGTGAAATTAGTATTTCCTCCCGTTTTGAAGAGAAGTGACAACCCACAGGAGGACTGGCAGTGGCTGTGGCTTGGTCACCAACAGAATCACAGGCATCTTCGTATCTCATTATAGGCGTGACCGAGGTCCCCAAATGTTTCGCTCATCCTGACTTCAAAAGGTACAAAATTAGAGATCTTGCTAGATTTTGTTATTTGATGCACTCACAAGGAAGCTAGATGTTACTATTCTTTTATATTTTTAATATTGCTTTTCTTTAAAATTGTCATCTAATGTCTTTTAAGATTATTCTGAGGAGGTATCCACAATCACCCCATTGCCCAGGGGCCCATGGCCCAAAAACGTAGAGAAGCCTTTCTTGGTGATGGAGAGAATGAAGCCAAAGGCCCGAGCCAGGATTCTGAGACTAGGAGAGGAGCAGAGCCTAGAAACCTGAGATCTGAACACGTGATCCTTCTTGCTACTATCCTATTAAAAGCTGTAGGAAAGCGTGTTGAGCAGCGTTGCCCAAAATGTCGAAATGGTTAGGAGTGTGGGAGCTGGAGGTGGCTTTATATGGGACTGAATCACAGAGGATGAAGACGATTCCCCTTTCAATGTTTTCTTCATTCCTTCTAAGTCCAGTCTCAGGTTAGCGCTAACCCGTCTTGAGCACCTTTCTCTCTGCAGACTTGCAGCATTATCAGAGAGTGAACCTCCGGCTCAGAGAGGGGCAACATTGCCTCATGTTCATCACTGATCCTTTTACAATTTCCTTCCACTGCTGGCAGGTGAGATGAGAGTTTCCTTTACAGTACCTAAAAATTTCATTTTCAACAAATTTGGTGTTTTGAAAAAGTGAGTTTATCATGAAAATATATGTTAAGGAAATAATTGGGAAGGTGATACCAAGATACATAAAACATGAATGTGCTCTCAGTGCCCTCCCCCCACCCTCCCCAGTTTTACCAGTAAGGGAGCTGAGGCCAGATACCTGCCCAGCGCCTGCTCATTTTAAGGCCAAGCGCTGGGCTTCTCCCTGTGGCTGCTCTGGCAGCTGGTGGCCTGCAATCTGGCCCCTCTCAGCCTCCTAGACCTCTGTGGGGCCGCGGGGGAGAAAGTCAGGGACTCCAAGTTCCCAGCATGGGTGTTAAACATGCCTTCTGAGTGTCCTGGCTCCAGGGTCCCCCGTCCTGAAGGGCCCAGCTGAGTGGGGCTTTCATCAGCCTCTGAGAGGTGGCAACACGTTTCAGGGCAGGATGCCGTCTGCCCACTGCCCCCACTTCTGCAGACCAGGCCGAGTGCAGAGGACTGGAAGCAAGATTCCAGAGGCATCTGGATATTATCAGTCACTCCACTGTCTGGCCAGTGGGCTGGGGCGGGGCCGGTGGCAGGGGGCAGAAACTGGCTGGAGGGTGGAGTCAGGAATCCCACAGATTCCTGGGACCAGACCCAGCTCCTGGGTGGGGGAGGAGGGGACAGTGATGATCTGGCTGCAAACCCTGCATGCTGCCCGGCCCTCATTAGGTGGCGGCACCAAAGGGAGCTGAAAGTCAATGATGATATTTGTCTGGCAGAGGAAACCCGGAGGGAGGGATTGGTGACCAGAGGGGGCGAGGCAGCCACACTGCTCTGCTGGGCAGCACTTGAGGACAGCAACAGGGAAGCGGGGGTGGGGGGCACGGCTGGCCCTCTGGTCCACTCGAAGATTCCTGCTTCAAAACTAACCCTGATGGCTTCCAGACAAGTCGGCACCAGGGGTCATTTCTGGAGGCTGTAAGTGCTGTCAATGGCAGCTGTAGAGACAGGTGTAAATCCATCTGCGCATTCCTCCCCAAGCCCCTCCCGGCTTTCTGCACCTGAAGCAGGTTCCATTTATTACTGCAAGCCGGCTCAGGACGCCTGAGCACACACACACGGCCACAGAACATGCATGCTCCGGGTTCACGCTGGGCCTGCCCTGTGGGTCCATTTTTTTTTTTTAAGCGCTTCTTTAAAGCAAACTCTATCAGCTGTTTGCTAAGGCAAAGCAAACACAAGCCTTTGCAACAACAAAAAAAGAAAGAAAAAAGGAAAAGAAATCCTTTTATTTGCTACCATTAAAATGTCCTTTTAAAATACTTTTCTTGGCAGACTGGGAGATAAGGGAGGAGGCCGAGGGGGAGGGAAGATGATGTGCGATTTATTTGAACTAGTCGAGTGATGAGTTGGGGAGGGGGGAACTTCACCTGACCCAGGCTTCTCTCTAGAATCAGACCCTCCTCATTTCTCACCAGCCTCCTGTGGTTGAACACAGATCTGCGTTCTCAGGAGTTCCAGGGGCTGCTCCCCCACCCCACCCCACCCCAGCCAGAGGGAGGCTCTGGGAACTGACACAGCCCCTCTCCATCTCTCCAAATGCACTCTGGGAATCTGGAGGACCCTGGGGAAATGTTCCCTCTTCCTGGTGAACTGGATCCTACCAGCCAAACCGTCCTCGTGGGTTTGAGCGGCTGTGCCCTGGGAGAAGAGAGAGCCTTCTAGGCCAAGCCAACGGCAAACCGAGGAACGGCCTGCCTTTTTCCGCACCAACTTGCAAGCTCTCGGCCACACACTCCCCCACCTCCACCCCAAAGGCCTTGTCGGGGGCCCCTGGAAACCCCTAATGAATGATAACTTATCTCCTAAGTTGCTGGTATCTGATGCTTTATATGGTTTCGAAAACCATATTCCCTGAGGGCTGGAGGCTTCTTCGGGAATTGGGAATTAGTCGGTTGGCACAGCTCAATCGTGATTTAATGGAGGCATTTATACTGTGCTGGATAATCTTCGGGCCATGTTAAGTAATACATCAGGGGGGCGGCCAGGGGGTGTGGCTGGCCTGCCCCAAGCCTCCCTGAGCTTGCTTCTGTCTCGTTTGGGCATTCCTTTTCCATGCTCCTTCCTTATTTCCCCCTTTTCCTCTGTTGTCTCTCATCTGGGCCTCTAGTTGTTTGTCTGTTTCTCTCTCTCTGCCTCACTCAGTCTCTGCAAGCATCTTTCTCTTTCATCTGTGCCTCTCCCAGTCTCTGAGTGCGTAAGGGTCTCTGTCGCTTCTTCAGTGTCTGTCTGTCTGTCTCCCTGTTTCTCCATCCTCCTGTCTCCTCCACCCAGCTCTCAGGCTGCTCAGGTCACAGCTCTACCCCAATTTTACAGTGTCCCCGAGGACTGGGGAAGGGGATGCTGGCTTCTGCTGCGGACTAGGAACTGGGCAGCTGCCACAGCGGGTCCTACCCAGGACCCTGACATTCCTCCCAGCTTGGTCCCATGCAGCCCCCTCCTCACTGGCAGAGCTCATCACTGCTGGGGGCTCTGCCCACAGACACCCAGGCCCCCAGCAACGTTCCTCCATTCTCCACAAGTTCCTTTTCCTCAATAGGTCTGAGAAGCTTTTCCCCTCACATCAGGAGATGGAGAAGACCGGGGGGAGAGTCAGGTGGGCCGAGGTGGAAAAGGCACTGGATTTGGAGTCAGGACACCTGGTCTCTAAGCCAGCTGGACCCTGACGCCAGTGCCAGGGGAGGAAGGGAGCACTGCATCTGTGGGATCACTTGCCATCCTGAGGTCCTGGGATTGAGGAAAGGGGCCCACAGGGGCTGTATGCCTCGAGTGGGAAGCTGGAGGGAGGGTCTCATTGCAGGATCAACCTGGGGAGAGGACGAGAACTGTGGCTTCAGGCTGAGCTGAGAACACAATGGGGCGAGAGAGTAATACTAATGGAGAGGACTTCATATATGCCAGGTGGTCATCTAAGAGAAAAATAGACGTATGCACTCTGACGCATACTCTAAATGTATACATCATATACTGGGTCTATACTTTCCGAAATATATATAGAGATTTTTAGTAAGTATATATGTACTTTCAGTAAATATATATGGTATATACTAAGCATATACTTTTAGTAAATATATATATTCAGTAAATATGTATAATTTCATATATATTTAATCATATATTATATATTTAATTTAATTTATAATGAATATATTCAATTATATAATATATAATATATATAATTTACTAAATATATATGTAAATATATATACTTTCTGTAAATACATATGGCATATACTTTTAGTAAATATATATTTAGTAACCATATATAAATATATATAATTTAATATTTAATATATATAATTTAGTAAATATATACGTATATGCACATACATCTATGGAGAGAGAGAGAGTAAGTGCAGAGAAGTTAGGGGCCCAAACGGCTACTGCTTCATGAGCACTACTGTGTGCCAGGGTTGATCTCATTGACTCTTTGCCATTGTCCTCCGTGGCAGGACCTGTTTTGCCCATTTTTCAGAGGAGGGAGCTGAGGCGGGGAAGGGTTTGTGGACTCATGTGCCGTTCCCAGGCTCTAACAGGCCTTCTCCTAAAGCTCAGTGGCGGGCATGCCAACAGTTTGCTGGAAGGCACCACCTGCGAGTCTTCAAATGTACCCAGGCCAGCAGCAATCACAAGGGAGCAGACAGCCCCCCCGAGGAACCAGCCCTGCCCACACCCAAGCGTGCACCTGCTGACTAGAACCTGGCTTGTCTTTACCTACCCACAGCTGGGCACACCCACGCTGCCAAAGGAGCCCCAGCAGGCTGTGGGTCGCGCTGAGGAGAGACTGAGATCATGGAGGGTGGTGGGCTCCGTTCCCAGTGTGGGAAGCGAGACAGCGCCAGTGTTTCATCTCCGGATGGTACGCGTGGAGGTGGGGAGAAGTCGGCGGAGAGGGATGAACAGGGGAAGTTACGGATCTGGGAGTCAGGCGGCCATGCTCCAATCTGGACCCCACTTCACAAAGAGGTACTTCGGGGCCGTCACCAAGCAATCCATTCGCCATTCGTCCTCCCAGAACCGTTTCGTGTGTCGCGTCTCTGATGCGAAAGGAAGGGGGAAACTGAGGCCCAAAGCAGTCGGCTCCAGGCAAGCTCTTGCGTGCGCGCCAGGAGGAGATGTGGCGAGCGGAAACCACAGTCCCGGGCCTCCTGAGAGAGGCGGGAAGCGAAGCCAAGCGCGGCGCAGGCACCTCGGGGCCTTGAGCGTAGCCAAAGTCGGTCAAGCGGGCAAAGGAAGAAAGGAGAAACGCGGTTCCGGGCTGCTGTTTGGAACGCATGCACTCACCCAATCGTCCGCTGGAGTCTCTACCAGGACCTCATGGATGCGGCTTGGGGAGGGGCTGGGCGGTCAGCGGAGCAGGGAGGGCGTGCGATCGAATGGAGTTTGCCTCTGCAGCTCGGATCCTGGCGGTTGGGGGCAGATGGACGTCTACGCAGCTCCAAGCCGCGAGATGTAGGCAGCTACCTGGAGAACTGGAAGAAAGTGGGAGAGATTCTGATTTCAACTTGCGACACTTTCAAATTGCGACATGTGCATTTGGGGAGAGAGAGAGGGAAAGATCGGTGCAGGAGAGACCAAAGCAAAGACAGAGCTAGAGAGACAGAAAGAAAGACGGGAGAAAAATACCGGGTCCGAGAGACATTCTAGCCTTAACGCCAAGCTAGAGGAGGCAAGGCCATTCCAGTGGTCCTCTCCGGCTCATAAACATTCCAGGCCAGGCCAGGCCAGGAGAACAAATGATGCTCTGACGTCCTCACGGGCCCCAGGGGCCAGCGCCGAATGCCTGGTTAGGGAGTGGAACCCTCAGCCTCGCTGCCTCTTTGCTGTGTGACTCCAGGAAAATCCCTCCACTTCTCTGAGCTCCGAGTTCCATCCGTTTAGCTCAGGGAAGTGGACTGGCACGTGGTACAGAAAGACCTTGAAATACTTGGGTTTATGAGTTGTGCCTCCCCTCCCTTTTCTCCCACAGAGCTGCTTTTGATGAAAACACCTGGATCTTTGCTGCCTGCGTTGACTCAGAGTGACTGAAGGAGAGGCTGGAGGAGGAATGTAAGGCCGGCACACATCAGCCACCCAATAATTGCTCACGCGGGTCTGCCTTTAAGTCCCCACCGTATGGAGACACAGGTCACCGGTGACCAACCCCTTTCAAAATCATGCGTTCTCTCAGAGGAATCTTCTAAGCGCCATCGGGAGCCCGGATCCCAGGGGACCCAAGGGTGAAGGGTCGTGCACCCAGGAACAGACAGCAAGCCTCAGGGCTCCAAAGTCAGTGCTCATTTCTACCCTGTCTCCCTAAGTCAGAGCTTCTCCACAACCCCAGCGCCGTCGCCGAACCACCCAGCCCTAGACCCTGCTAAGCGGACGAGGGGGCTTTAGAGAGAGACGTCTCCGGGCAGAGAGCTTGGGGAGAGACGGGGGAAGGGGCCGGGAGGTGGGGGGCGCCGGCGGGTGGGAAATACGAGTGAAGTTCTGAGAGCCAAAGAGAATCGGAGAGCGGGCAACGGCCAAGACCGAAAAGGGGAAAGAAAAGTGAGAGGAGAGAGACAGAAAAAGGGAAAGAGACGACGAAGCTGGAGCCCGGGGAGCGCGCGAGCCCGCTGGGGCGCAAGGCGCCGGGCGCAGGACGGCCGGAGGCGCCCAAGCCGTGTTCCCCGCCGCGCCCCACCCGGCCCAAGGGGAGCGCCCCACCGACCAATTTGGCTTGCACAAAACCCGCGCCCCAGGGGCCTTTGCCAGGCCGCTGGGACTTGATTCATTTCTTGACTAATTAACTGGAAGCTACGTCGCCCCTTCTTTCAGGGCCCAATTAATTCGCCGCGGGCGGTGGGGCGGGGGCCTTGCGGCCTCGGCGCCCGCCTGGAGCCCCTTTGTGAAGGGCTGTCTGGACCATATTGATTCTCCACACACGTCCCCCTCCTTCCTTCGTCCAAAAAAAAAAAAAGCCTTGAAAGCTCTGATTTCCAGAGTTTAAGAAGGTTTGTCAGACTCGCAACTACCGCCCCCCCACCCATCAATTGCATTTTCTTCCAGAAAGAAGGCAGTACGGGACCAAGGCAGTTTCCAGATTTGGGAAAGGGTTAGAAGGGCTTTCTTCCCAAAAGGGCAAAGAAGTCAAGGAAACAGATCGCCTCTGTGCACCTTCTGCCTTGTCGTTAAGCCAGACAGTGGGTTAGACAATCCCAAGGTTAAGCCTCAGCTCCACGAGAGACTAGCCAGCTGTGGGACCTCAGGCACGTCTGTACCTCTCTGCGTGACTCAGTTTTCTCTCCTGGAAAATGGGGAGCGCTGAGAAGGCCTCTTCGGATTGCTGTATTTGACGAGCTGATGTGGGGAAAAGCTCTTAGAATATTATCATCCTCGCCAGAATTTCACAAATGTTCTCCCCAATAAACAGCATTTCATAACAAACCCATTTCGCAGGCGGGACGAAGAGCTAAGGAGGACGGATCAGCCAGGCAGCGATCCGGGTGTTGGATTCAAGGGCCGAGAGGGTCCAGAATGAAATCTCCTAGGGAGCTTCGCCGGCGCTCGGCGGGCTGGGTGGGAGTGGAGCGCACTCTCCCGGCCTGGGGTACCCAGAGGCTCACCAGATGGGGCTGGAGACTCATTCCCGCCCACCTACCCCCATCCTCCTTGCAGTAGGAACGACCGCGGGGAACGGGAAACCCTGTGTCCCGACACCTGCTGGGTGGAACCCAGCGCGCACCAGCGAGGGGATTGCCCAGCGCTCCTCGAGGACCGCATCGATTGTATTGACCTCACGGTGGGTCAGCGTGTCTCCATCGATCAACCGAACGAAGTCTAGGACAAAAATATAGAGGGAAGGAAATCACAGCCGTCTTTGTAAAACTGGTGGAAAGGGAGGTGGCTTGGCCACTGTGCGAGGACGCGCGGGTGACCCAAGCCGGTCCCACCCTCACGCAGCGCGTCGGGAAAACGAGCTTCTCACCCCACTCCCCTTTATTCGATCATGGATTCATTTTTTAGTTCTGTTCTATTTTTAAAACAAACAAGAATTAGTTTATTCAATCAACAAACATTTGATGAACACACTACATGTGCCAGACTGCGCGGGGCACTGGGGTACTGATGAGGGAAGGGGTCTGCACAGAAGCATAAAACCCGGGGGGGGGGGGTAGTGTGTGGGAATGTGTAGAGGCTTCTTTGCTGTCACTTTATAGCCCTGCGACCTTGGGCGAGACTCCCTACCTATCTGGTCTAGTTTCCCGGTCTACGAAGAGCGGCAGTACTGCCCAGTCCTAGGCAAGGGGTAGGCGCTGAATGGAAGAAACGGATGGGAGAGTCTAGAGGTCAATACTTCACCACAGCCCCCAGCTCGAAGCTGGGGCGCGCAGACCTGGGGAAGTCATTTGCGGGACCTTGGCGGTGTAGACTCTGGCTCCCGCTTACACCGGCGCCCCGCTCGCGGGCAGCGTCAGAAGCGCTCGGGATTTCAAGGGCGCTGCCTCTTGGCAGCGAGAACCACTGAGCCTCAAGTCTGGCCTTCCTGCCCTGAGACCTTGAACTTTAGCCCTCTCTCATATCGCCCTTCCTGGGCCTCAATTTTCCTCGTCTGTAAAGTGGGGTGTATATCACTGTTTTCACCGCAGTGAACAAAGCTGAAGACCATAATGCTTACATCAAGTCGGTGAGGACCCATCTCTTCGCCCACGTGTCTCCAGGGCTTAGCAGAGTATCCGGACGGAGAAGCCCCTCAGTCAATATTCTTGGAATGACCCCCGTGGACGTTTCTATCCATTAAACCAAACTTTCCGTCCCACACCTGTCTTTTCACTGTCTTGCTTTACATAACAGAATCCGTTCGGGGAGCAGCTAAGAAGTTTGACGCTTTTTTATTTTAAGCCATCATTTGCTTTTGAAATGCATGGAGACTCCCCTTTAGTCTCCTTCTCTCCCTTTCTTCACCGACTTTCATTCCTGTATTGAAGGATTATTCTTTGAGCACCTATGGATTGCCAGGCACTGTGATCAGAGGTGGCGATCTGACGGGTCCCATGCCTCCAGGAGCTTACAGAATAGTGAACTAAGAATAAACACTCCCACCCAGACCATGGAGCCCATTCACTTCTTTGCTCATCGTTGATTTTTCCCCCTTTCCAGCTGATTAAGTAACTTTTGACAAGTCTAATGCAGTGCCTAGTATGCAGTAAGCGCTCAATAAGTGTTGAGTGAATTTATTTTTCCCAATATTGTAGCCCACAGCTCCTCTTTTGGCTACGGAACAGCCAGTCTGAGGTCTTAAGTGTCCTCACAGAGACACCTCCAGATGAGGACTCAGGTGCATCTGTCAGTGTGCAGTGCCCAGTGTCCAAGGGGCGTTAGAAGGCCGTGACATCCGACTGCGCCTCAGCCCTGAGACTCCCACTTCCAGGGGAGCAATTCAGGCTAGTAAGGGCAGCCACTCTGATTTTCACCAGCATACCTGGACTGGGCAATCCATGTACCCTTTTCGCATCCCACACTTATCTGGCTATCCTCCTTTCCAGACCACTCTCCCCTCCACACACAGACACACACCCCTTTCCCGGGAAAGAAGAGCTAGTGCCCTGGCGCCTAAGAAATGAGGTGCTGGTTGTCCCCTAACTCTCTTCTGGGGACATCCCTGTTCTTGCTCGTCCAGCCTCTCTTGGTCCCACTTCCAGATCTGGCGAACTGTGGGTGCTCCTCTCCCGCCCCAGCCTCCAGGAACAGCTCTGACCTCCTGGTGCATCTGGAACTGCCACTGCGGACGCTCAAAACTGAGGTTCCTACCCCGAGCGTCAGCGGAAATTCGCTGAGGCCGTGCTGGCCACACGGAAGACGACGGTGGGCCAGCCACGTCTCCCCCGAGCGCCATCCAGCGGCGAGACGGCAAGAGCACCTTCCGCAGAGGTTCCTGGCCAGCCCGTCCAGAAGGGAGGTGCGGAGGTATCCAAGCGGGAAGTGGTGCCTCCCTGGCCGCCCTCCGGCCCCCGAAATTAGGGCACTGTGTCTCCAACGCGTCCCCCACGTATTCCCCCCACTGCTTAAGGCGGATTCGGGTTCACCCAGCGTTCAAGACCCCCCTCCCCCTTTTATTAATGCCCAACATATGCACTGCACAGAGAATTGTTTAAAGGAGGAAAAAAAGAAAAAGGAAAAGAAAACAAAATAGGGTTTGCGCCACCACTGCCTGGAAACTTTCCTGTGGCGGCTCGGGGGCTCCTTGCAGGCTGGGTGACGCTTGCTCTCCCTTCCTGCGGGCATGTTAAGTCTTGCCTTCCTAATTCTACACCTAGGACCTTAGCCTAGCTCCAGTCAGGCGCCTTGACTCCCTGCCCTTGCCTGCAACCCGGGCTGGAACACTTCCTCTCCCAGGATCCCCGTGTGTGTCAATCCCCCGGGATGGGGTCCCCGGAGTGGCACCCCAGCGCGCACGGAATCCTAAACGCAGAGGGAGAAAAAGACCACTCTTTATAACTCCGAATGT